ATTTAACTTCAGAGCATTTTTCATTTTGTTATCTATCAATGAAGTATACTACCAAAATCTATCAAGTATGATCTTCATAGTATTTATAATCTCAATAGTCCAGTCAGACTAACTGCTGAAAAATGCATATACATCTTTAAAGCTTGGTGGCTTTATATAAGAATCAAAATCTTCAGGATTAGCCTCACAGTACTCATAGTAAATTTTTTCAATTTATTAAATATCTAATACTATGCTATTAGTATTATCACCACTACCCACACTCATTTTAAAACTCATTTGACTTACAAGCATCAGGTATAGATAATAGATAGAGAAGCAAATGATCTTCAGATTTTTAAGTGAACTTTTATCATACTTTGAGGATTACTGAATTTATTGCTGAGTATTACGACTGCTATTGTTGTTTATGCCATTCTATTGTAAATTTTAATTCTAAGTATATGAATCTCCAGGCTGGAATCCCAGGTCTCTAAGAAGTACTTTATCAAACAGGAAGAAACCAAAGATTATCATCCTTTGTCCTGTATTTAGTCTAGTTGTTGAGCCCATCTCATCTAAAATCGAATGCTAATTCTCAAATCTGTTGTAAAAGCTGGGTGGAACAAATGTGCCTAGTTTAGTTAGTTGCTAAAAGAATTTAACTAGAGGATCTGGCATTTATGTCTTTACAGTATTATTAAGAATGTTTGAAAGTATGCTCTTGACTCTAATCTAAACTTGCATGAATCTCTTCTTCGATTCACTAAGCGATATTCCTCATTTCAAGAAATTTAGGCTTAATCTACTCTTCTTATCCATATTCTAAATTTATTCAGTACTAAACATCATATTCTTGAGGATAGTAGAGTTGAGTTAGATGATCCAAGATCTAGCTATTTTCATATTCAATTCAATAAGCTTATCCATCTCATTAAGCTGAGTATCCTTGTATCGCATCCTCATGTTTCTGAAATCCTTATGCATTTTCATAAATTTCCCCATTGACAGAGCTATTCCTCTAAATTTATTGATGCATTTAAGTACAATTTCCTTCTTCTTAAGACTAACATCCAATCTATGCTTGAAGTACTCTACTTTATCCTTGAATGTTTTCTTTTTCTATAGGTTTTGCATTGCTACTAGCGGATCATCTTCCTCCTTCATTTCTTGTAGAATTTCATCTTCAATTTTTATTAGAAATTGCTTTGGTGATTCGATCTCCATTCCAAGTATTTATTCAATTCTCCCATCTCTCAATGCAGGACTGTGTCTTGTTGTTGATAATTAATTTTCAAATGGCATCGCTAATTGTTTGTTGTAATTTCCATTCTTTATAGGCTTTCTTATAGGTGTCCTAGAATCCTCATCAGGACCGATGAGTTTCCTTACTTTTGAAGATAACTCTGCATGCTAAGGAACACCTATGAAGGATGCATTGGGACTTTATTGCTAGTTTATTTATGGAAGTGTTTGGGAATTTGGCATGAAACTTGCATAGCTATTAAGTTGTGAATTAGCATGATTTTTAGAGTGAATTGATTATACATTAAATTGAGGACTTCTCTAAAATTCTTTAACTGAGGGATGTGGACTCATACCTTGATTATTAATACTGTTATTATTGTTCTAATTTTAATTTTATTTCCTTGAGGTTTCATCGGCAGTTTGAGATGTAAGCAGACTTTTAAGTCGTGCAGATTATAGATGATTGATTTCTTTTTTTAGATCTTTGTATCTCTCTAATTTTTATTTGATATCTTCTATGTCTTTATTGTTGTTTCGCTTATATATTTAAGAGTTTTCAATATAGCTGTTATTTATGTGTGTTTACATAGGTGAACCACTGTCAATCAAACTTACATTTAGTAATCAATCTATATTTTTCTTAGGAGTTATTAAGCTCATATTATTTGGGTTATAATTCGAGGGTGATTATTCAATTTTCCTTATAGATTAAAAATTATCATTTCTAGCATATCTACCTTATATATCAGGCAGTTTAAAAGGGGAAGAGATTGTATAGCTGTTATTGCTAGGATTCAAATTATTACTAGGTCTAGTCTCTAGTGACTGAGTCAATTACTGGAGCATTTGGAAATCATTGTTTATTTTTACCTAATAGTTCATCATCTTAAGATTGATTTATATTTATTTATTTGACTTCGTGTTTAATAAAAAAGTAATGCCTCCACATAATCTGATTTTAGTTACAGAATTTTAAATTCTTAATCATCATCTTCCAAATCTTTTTCTATTAAAATTGAAGGGGTTTTGGGGTTTTGGGGTTTTGGGGTTTTGGGG